ACTACGGACATCTAAACAATCACACAAGACTACAGACATCCAAACAATCACACTAGACTACAGACATCCAAACAATCACACCAGACTAGACATCCAAACAATCACACAAGACTATGGACATCCAAACAATCACACAAGACTATGGACATCCAAACAGTCACACTAGACTACAGACATCCAAACAATCACACAAGACTACGGACATCCAAACAATCACACAAGACTACAGGCATCCAAACAATCGCACAAGACTACTGACATCCAAACAATCACATAAGACTACGGACATCCAAACAATCTCACAAGACTACGGACATCCAAACAATCACACAAAACTACGGACATCCAAACAAGCACACAAGACTACAGACATCCAAACAATCACACATGACTACGGACATCCAAACAATCACACAAGACTACAGGCATCCAAACAATCGCACAAGACTACGGACATCCAAACAATCACATAAGACTACGGACATCCAAACAATCACACTAGACTACAGAAATCCAAACAATCACACTAGACTACGGACATCCAAACAATCACACAAGACTACGGACATCCAAACAATCAAGAATTTTATACAATTCAAAAATGCTTAAGTTAATATTTGACACAACACAAATCACAGGTGTCAATTGTCAGGTAGCATACAGCCTTTAAGGGAAATATAATGCTCTCCACTCAAATATATACAAATCTATTTATTACGAATATTAAACACCTAGACCATCTATCTCATAGTTAGGTTTTGGTCCAAGGCAGTAATATATTTAACACCTAGACCATCTATCTCCTAGTTAGGTTTTGGTCCAAGGCAGTAATATATTTCGATGCTTGTGTACACTTCATAAATATTTACCAACCATTGATATTATTAAATGAACAAAGCATTAATTAGCATTCATTGTTGATATTTGAAAAGTTGTATATATATAGTATTGAACTCTCTTGGCAAGGTAATGCATGTCGTAATAGTAAAGGTAACCTATACTGGTATACAAATGTTGGAATTCCCAGATTTTCAGGGCCAGAAACACTCCTAAACAATACAGTTTGACAACACATAATATGAAGACTTACTAGATATGAGTAGGTGGGCTGTCATTGGAAATACTGAGGTGTAGTATATTATTAGAATTATTACTACAGAACTATTATTAGTATCAATACGGTATGTAATACACGTAATATCTCAAATACTTTTTATCTCAACTCGATGTTGAGTCATAGTCGGTGATTTACCTTTGACTGTGCCATTCTTACCTTGTCAGGTATTTATTTTATTTTGATAACTTCATAAAAAAAATGTTGAATTATCAACAAGTTCAGATCTAGATTTGGAATTGATAATGGAACGCAAATAGATCAAAGGAGTCTGAACATATTACAAAACAGTGACAGTTTTTAAAAAGAGAAACACTACTGTAGGTTGTTTCAATGGAATCATTTTGATGGAATTGGGTGGAATTTGATTGATGGAAAATATAAACAAGAGAGACTGAAGAAGAAATCGGTGAGCCCAGAGGGAGCTGTATAACGCCCTGTGTCGGGACCTCACTGAGGGATCTGTGACAGCATATATGTGTAGTGTTATCCTCCTGTCTGTGGCCTGCTATCTCTCTATAGGTGTACTGGTGTTTCATTCATAACACACAAGCACAGCCCAATAAACCTCAGTCGTATACCCAGAGCTGGTGTGGGACTGTCGGAGCCACAGGAAGCACAAGGACAGCCCAAAACTAAATATTTACTTTTCTGTGTTTAAGAAAAAATCATTCTGAATGTAGGGGATATTTCTTCTGGATGATACACATTTATATTGAACTGGAGTTACTCTGTGTTATAATGGAATTCAGGTGTCGTCTGCTACAGCTGGGATATATAGACCGAAGTGTGCTTAGAAAAAATGTTTGTGGTAATTCTGGGGGAATTTAGAAAAGTTTGGTGGTTGCCAAACAAGTGAAACAAAGACAATGAAGAAAGGTGTAAGAATTTGCCCGGATTATAAATCTCGACTGGAGGAGTACCGAGAGGATCTCTGGAATCTGGGTCGGGCAGACATGGAATGTTCCATGGAGGATACTGGGGAGGGAGAAGAACCCCACCTCCGTAAACATGTGAGGAGGGACAGGGGTGGGGCCAGAGGTGCCCCCGACCCCAGCGATACGTCAGATCCCACCTTTATCCGCCTGTCTATGCACTGGGATGAGTTCTTCGGTATGAGTATTCTATTGGTTGAATTTATTTTATTATTTCTGTTTAGGAATATATTTTTATTGTGGTCATTATGACACACAATTTATCACTTTTGATTTTTTATTTAATCTGACTTTTTATTTTCATTGAGAGTAGTCATGAAATTTGTATGAATAGTATCAATACAGCAACTTTTGAATTTCAATATAATTGTATTTTCAAACATATTTAGAATGTAATCTTATGACTATGTGGCGATGAATTCTGTATGGCCATCGATCTATTCCATTCATCTGAATGACACAGTAGGAGTAGAGTGACATTATACAACTTTTCATGCGGTATATTATATATACCTATCTTTTAAGCGGGTCCGTCTGCTTGATATGTGTCTGCTTGCTCCATAATATAAATAGCTGTCTGGTGTAGCAAAAGGACAGGTGTTGTCCTGTATAGCTGTGTTGATATATGTACTTCGTACTTCGACAGTAAACACACTTGACAAACACACCTAGCCAATTTTACATCTGGGTTATTTTAAATCATTATTGATTATTAGTACTTTGAAATGTACCGAGACAATAACAATACCATAAAGTAATTTGAAACATTTTAACTAATGAGGCAAGAATTGTGTCCTATATATTTTACCAAAAGTTCACACCTGTGTATTTTAGACAGGTAACACTGCACGAGTAAATACAGGTAACACTACACAGGTATATATACAGGTAACACTACACAGGTATATATACAAGTAACACTACACTGGTATATATATAGGTAACACTACACATGTATATATACAGGTAACACTACACAGGTATATATACAGGTAACACTAGAGGTAAATACCGGTAACACTAAACAGGTATGTATACAGGTAACACTACACATGTATATATACAGGTAACACTACACAGGTATATATACAGGTAACACTACATGGGTATATATACAGGTAACACTACACGGGTATATAGACAGGTAACACTACACATGTATATATACAGGTAACACTACAGGTATATACAGGTAACACCTATGTATTGTAGACAGGTTTTTACCTATATAAATGTAATCACTCTGGATTGTCAAGGTCACTCGAACAATTTATCAACAAGTCACACATTTCTATGGCTTTTTTCACTGACGGTATATTATGTATGCCTTGAGGACGTATACAAAGTTGATGGGGCCTCATCATCACTTGGCAATCTTACCATATCAATTTCACTGGTTCATCATACTCCATTACCATCACACTAGTACCTGAGGACACCTGGGTGATTGAATTACCTGGTTTATGCTAGGACATTCTCGCTCAGTGAAATCAAAGTTCAGATAATCAGACATATTTATCTTGAATTTGGTCAGGATAATTATAAGGCGATATATAATGATATATAGATTCCTTCCCATTACTGATCAGAAATATCTTTAACACTGCATCATAATTTCTGAGTGTGTTGACATTTTCAAGCCGTGGGTAAATTAAAGGTCTAGCAAGGAAACATATTTATTATTGCCACGGTCATGACAATTTTTCATCAGAGGCAAATGGAATTTATGTTGAAAAGCCGTTTCATGTTGTGGAAGGTTTATTTTTGCTGTAGTCATGAAAATTATGGGCTAAAAAATTAAACTTCACAGATACCCTCATAATACTGAGTTCAGTTTAGGCTACTGGAACCCCACAAAATTGTTTCGGGAAGAAAACAATGAAGTTTTAAATCCCCTCCTTCCCTGTTTATAATTGATTAATTAAAGAGCAGATGTTTCAACCTAATTTGACCCCCTGAGATTGGGAATGGTTGCTGTGAAGCTATACATTATGTATTGCAATGCTATTCAATGGATTGGGTCAATTGTCAGTACTATAAAAATAGCACATTCTTAATCATTTATCTGACTGAAAACTTATCATAAACTCAATAACATATCAAAGTGTAATTAATTTTTTAATAAATTTATAAACCATTATAGATTGTCTTAGGGAAGCATGGACCTCATCCACAGTCAGTAACTGGCAAGCCTGCATGTCGTGCCCATTTGATTTTTTTTTGTTGACAACTTTCAAAATTTTGAAAATCAGCAATGGGTTAAGCTGAAACTTGTTGTTAGCTATGCAATTTTTTTTTTAAACGTTGATGGTAATAAGAAATTACAACATATTATAACTCATTAACAGATGTCTCTCTACTTTTGACCTATTGAAATTAAAGCTAAGATGGGAGTGAAGCCATAGACTGAAGTCCCATTTATGATTTATGATCAGTATACAGTGCCATAAAAATACACTTTCTGTGCTATTAACTCAGCTAAGACCTTAAGGATCTGAAGAAAATATCTCAAAGAGTAACAAGAAAATATAGCATCTTATATTGTTGTTTCACAGGTATAATGTGTAAGGTAGCATATAACCTTAACTCTGACACAATTCACAGGTATAATGTAAAAGGTAGCATATAACCTTAACTCTGACACAAATCACATGTATAATGTGTATGGTACCATATAACCTTAACTTTTACACAAATCACATGTATAATGTGTATGGTAGCATATAACCTTAACTTTAACACAAATCACATGTATAATGTGTAGCATATAACCTTAACTTTAAAACAAACCACAGGTATGATGTGTAAGGTAGCATATAACCTGAACTCTAACACAAATCACAGGTATAATGTGTAAGGTAGCATATAACCTTAACTTTAACACAAATCACAGGTATAATGTGTAGCATATTGCCTTAACTTGAACACAAATCACAGGTATAATGTGTATGGTAGCATATGTGCTTAACTTTAACACAAATCACAGGTATAATGTGTAGCATATTGCCTTAACTTGAACACAAATCACAGGTATAATGTGTATGGTAGCATATAACCTTAACTTTAGCACAAATCACTGGTATAATGTGTAGCATATAACCTTAACTTTAACAAAATCACAGGTATATATGTGTATGGTAGCATATAACCTTAACTTTAACACAAATCACAGGTATAATGTGTAGCATATAACCTTAACTTTAACACAAATCACAGGTATATATGTGTAGCATATAGCCTTAACTTTAACACAAATCACAGGTATGATGTGTAGCATATAGCCTTAACTTTAACACAAATCACAGGTATGATGTGTAAGGAATCATTGATATTACATACTACTTAGGGATCACTGTGACCAGGGCTAATTCATTCTGTGTTCAGAATAATGAATCTTACATATTTATGTAGGAATGTAAGTAGAGGAATGTTAATCAGATAGATGCTTCAATAGCCAGTGGTCAGTTTGAATGTTTGATTAGGTTGGCTGTCACTTACACTGACTAATAGGTATAATGACCAGCAGAAGGTGGACACTTACTTGAGCCCTGTGGTCAGACATTGACACCTATAGGATCAGATTGACTTATGTCTGCATTGTTTCTTGAATACACAGGTAATCATTGTGCATTAACAGACATCATGATTTATTACTGCACATATGCGTCACCATGTACATGTGTTACCTATACATATTATCTATTCTGTGACCTTTCACAAAGCAAGGCTTGATAACCTGAACTCCGAGGACAATTGATCTAATATTAACAGGGCTTGTTGTTTATTGTTGTTGTTGTTTTTTTTGTTTTTTTTTTGTAATGATTAAACACTTTCAAAGTGATAATTTTCACTGATTCGGCTAAAGAGATTTCCTCTCCCCTATCTGTTGGGACTGGTAAACTAGTGGTTTATGGTTTGACTCCTATACTACAATTAGAGTAAAAGGAGAACGATTAACAGTAAGGATCCCACTACCGCTGCGAAAAACTGAAACTCTGCATTCATAACTTATTTATAGCTTTGATAAATTGTTTCTGAAAGGAAATGTATTCCTTAAGGAAATTTTATGAAAAACGTAATAGAGATGTAATAAACAAAGAATAATTAACGATAGTGTTCCGAATATAAAAAACCCTAATGTTGCTAGACCAGGGCCCACTTGTATAAAACATCTCAAAGTTAAGGAACATCTCAAGCAATGTATTGTCTATGGGTAATCTTAGACTTGAGTAAATCTCAAGTGTTGAGATGTTTTATACAAGTGGACCCAGGGCTCAACCCTGGACCTCAAATTGTGAGACTGTCACTGTAACTGACTGAGGCATCTTGAGTCAATGGAGTGGTAGGAAGCCATGCTCGTGACCGAGGGTTGCAGGTTCGAGTCACGGCACAGCACTGTGTTGTATCTTTGAGCAAGATACTTTACTTCGCTTGTTCCAGTCTACTCAGCTGTAAATGAGTACGTGGTTGGGCAGTGCTAGAGTTGTTGAATGCTAGCTGTGAGCGCCGAAATGGCAGCTCCGGCTGTATGCTCCCCAGGGAGTTGAGAAAGGTATTGGCTGGGTGCAAAGGCCCTATAACCACGGATAATAATTTGTGAACCGCTTTGAGACGACCTACGAACTAGATTGTGATAAAGCGGTATATAAGAACCTCAAATTATTTTTATTATTATAAGTATCAAGGACTACCTGTGCTTCAGCTAAGTCAAAAACAAAATTAAAGGGAGGTTACTGTATACGAAAAACCATAGTGCAGTGGGACATGGATTCTTAAACAATTTCAGTGATTGACCTATTCATATGCACACAGGGTAGGGACACCAGTACTTTGTAAGATTATATCCTTTACCTTGAACTTACAGGTATGGCTGCATTTTTTTATTTGTACAGCAGACAACTCTAAAGATTTAATTTTCCCTAGAGTGGAAGGTATGTTACAGGCTAACATTTAGTCAATAGTTACAATGAGAGTTGTTATAGAGTGTGTTCCTCTGAGTGAAATGTGCTGTTAATTGAAATGTGATATTAAGTTAAATGTGCTATTAAACAAAATGTGATATTAAGTGAAATGTGATATTAAGTGAAATGTGCTATTAATTGAAATGTGATATTAAGTGAAATGTGATATTGAAATGTTCAGAAAAAAAGTTTCCTGTGAAAACTCTTTTAATGTTAA